CTCCCTCTTTCTCTCTCTCTCTGTCTCACACACACACACACAACAATAGCATCCGTGTGATGGAAAGAAGTGTTTACTCAGAGGGCTGTTGGCTGGCCAGCCCCACGCTGCTGCCGGGGGCCGGAGCAGAGCAGGAGGTGACGGTGGCCTGGATGGAGGTGTGAGGTCAGTCAGAGCAGTCTCACTGCAGGAACAGATCACACATCCAGGCAGGTAGGAGTTAAACCAGTGGCGTCGTTCGTTTTTTTAAAGGATTTGTTGTGGATTTCTCTCTGGGCTTGTTTACAGGTATTTTATTATCAGTAGAGATTTAGCAGGGAATGAACAAGAGTATTCTTCTTAGTGTTTTCTTGATTTGGTGGACTTACTCTCTCTTGACGGTGTGTTTCTTTTTGAGCGCATTTCTGTCATTTTACTTTTACTTTGTGGGGAACAGAAGAATAATGAGCCTAAAAAGTGGACATTACAGAAAACACCTTAGTGATACACATCATATTTCTGGTTTCATTTAGTTGTTTGATGGTACAGTTTTCTTATTCCTGTTGATAACTGGTTAAACAACAATAGTTTTAATGGTTGATTCATTTCTAAATTCATTAATAATTGTTCTTTTATTAACTGGTTAAGATTCAAAAGTCCAATGTCTAACATTTAGGAGGATCTATTGGCAGAAAAGTAATATGATATTACAAACCAAACACTGGCAAAAGGTAAGGCCTTTCGTGAGCAGAGAAGTGACAAGGAAATGTCAAAAGATAGGAAACAGTTGAGGGATGACATACAACAAAGGTCCCCAGCTGGATTCAAAATGTGGATGCTGCAGTAAAAGAATACACAGAGGAGGACTATTTAGAGGAACACTCATAGATAAACTGATTGGTTATGTAAAACATAGACCTATAGGGAAGATCTCAGGCTCTGTCGCTGATGGCAGATTGTTGATCTGAATAGTGTTCCAATGGCTTTTCTGAGCTCTGGTCCCTGCAGGTTTTAAATAGCAAGAGGTTTCAGTATTTATACCCCCTGTGAGGCGGGACTTGGGAGCATCTCAGCAGGACGGGCCTGGCATTTATGATGGGGTATCTTAATCAACCATATTTTTCTGCAGGCTGCTGCTATTTAAACTTCAACTTCTACCAGGGAATTTGGGGCAGTCGGGGAGTAGTGCAGACACTTTAGTCTGGAGGTATTAAAGAATGTCTCTCTGGGTATGTCAGTGAGGTTAAAGGGATATTTCAGAGAGGTTTATTTTTAGGGAGCCTGTGGTATTCGGAGAGGGCCATAGTCCGCATTCCTGCTGTTCCTAAGTTTTCTGCTGTATCACCTCAAAGGATAACATATGTCAGCCCCTCTAACAGCTGTTTCTGGGGTCAGAGGTTACGGAAATGACAGCAGGGGCAGCACTGCTGTTTCAGCGAGACCAGTGACCGGAAGTCCGCCAGCCTCTTCACGCACTAGCATGGCTCAGATAGACATTAGCGGCTGAAATTAGGAGTACAATAAGTAGTACTAATCAAGTGTGGTAAAATAGTGAAGGTAGTCATTTGTAATCCCATAAATGATACAGCAAGTAGTAATCAATCGTTGTGTGTTTACTAATAGTCCAGTAGTGGATAGACTTGGTTAAAATCTGGTTTTGGGTATACATGAATGTGTAGTAAACAGTTATTAGTGATCATATGGTGGATGATAATCAGGTTAGTAGTTTTTGCGTTCATAGCATATATTGTTGGTAGCAGATGTCACTAGTATTGATATGGTAATAGGACATAACTATTGCTTTTGCCGTAGTTGATGGAAGTTGAGTAGTAAATGTATCTAATAGTAAGGTGGTAGAGGATGTAGTCAATAATATTGTGGTAGTAAGTGTAACTATTAGCAGTATGGTGGGTGTGTCTAGTGCATGTACAGTTAATTGATAAAAATATGATGTGATTTACTGTGGAACTGGATGTAATTAATATTAATACAGCAGTGGATGTAATGTGTGACTAATAGTGAAATAGTAATGGATGAAACTAAATGTGACAGGCTAGTGGATGGAAGTCATATAAAAGTAATAGTGGTGTTAACTAATAGAAGTAAGGTTATAGGTGTGAGTAGCACTAAAGAAGCAGTGAGAGTGTATTTAATAGAAGATGTTCTTTTGGCTTATTGATGTGGATTCATAGATTTCGTAGTAACACAGTACCAACAGCAGTCAGTAGCTTTAACGTATTTTCACAGAGGCGGATGTAAATTAGCTTTTACTCCAGCTTCTCACCTCACAGCCGGATACTTCCTAACAGGAGAACCACAGAGGGAGCTGTAGGTCAAGCTATATTTAGTCGGTGCATATTAAGTGTAATCATGTCATTAATCTTTAGTGAGCGGGACCCTCCCGTTTGCAGCCCACACCCGGCCTCGTTTATAAAGGACACAGTTCATATGTATTTTAGTTTAGAAACCGCTTGGAGTATCACTGCTCTATATCTGTACTCCCTTGGCTGTGAGGATTATATTTGAGCTGTTGTTTTTTCACAATCGGCTAGTTGTACAAACCCATACAGTTATAAATCTACTCTCACTTGTAATAAATGCCATGCTAAAAAAGATTTACCACCTCTTTAACCTTTGTGCATACTGTAAAATGCTTTAATGTCCATTTCACAGTCAATTCTTTAGTTAATTGCCTTGCCTAGAGTGCCACCTTACAGTCTGCCACTGTATGTAATATGAGAGAGCAACGGCTGTGCTATATTGATATCTTTTGTGTGTGTGTGCGTGCGTACCTGGTGTGTTTGCTCATCGAAAACAACAGTTGGTAAACTTTGATCACTCATTCATCTGCAGTGACTCTGCTTGATGACTTGTTTTATGTGGTTTACTTTGTGATTACGTGGGCCAGCCAGCACGCTCGGTGTATAATGGGTCACGTGGGCTCTAAACAAAGCCCGTCTGCCTATCAAATCCTCTCGCAGTCCAGTGACAGCTCAGCAGTCTGTTCAGGTTGCCAAGGCTGCTGTCATAGCAACTTAGTTGGAATAGATGGTTTGATTCTCTGTTGCCCTGCTGACAAAAGTCTGCTTGGTTTGAATCCTGTTTTGACTATGTCACCATGTGGCAAATGTTAACATCCCATACCATTTCTTTTGGTTGGAGGTGTAGCCTATCTGATGCATCTACTTTCTACAATTATGGGAGCAGTTTGATGGGATTCCACCTACAGTTATCAAGTCGTTATTCTCCTCATGGACTATCAGTGAATCAGCATGATTGTCTGTTATGTGCAGATCTGGATGCAGATGCAGTTTAAACTGATTGAGAGGCCTTACCAGATGTAAGCATTTTTATGAGAAGTGTCTAAAATTTGAAATGTATGCTTACTGAAATAAAAGTATTTACCCCCAAAGACAATCCAATAAACATAAACAGATTTAGTTTACCATTAGCAGCTTATTTTTCAGTATCAAATCAGTGAATATCGAAGGATATAAAATCCTTTATCCCAACATTTTCATCCTTGTCAGTGTTAATGTTCAGCACCTCTTTGCTGCAAATTGTAACAGGTTAGTACATTGTGTGCTGCCAACTTTCCTTTCTAGATCAAATTTGTAGATGTTCACTCCCAGTTCTGCTGCTAAAGACAGACCAGCGTGCTTCCTCAAATTATACAAATATGCAAATTCACATGGAAATGTGCAGGGTGCAGTGTCTTACAGCTGTGTCTGTGTCTCTCTGTCCAGATTGAGAACATCGATGCCTGCCTCAGTTTCTTGGCAGCCAAAGGAGTCAACATCCAGGGTCTGTCTTCAGAGGGTAAGCTGGACTTCTGCTTTCACTGGAACAAGAGAGGTAGACCCCAAACCTAGGTTCGGGTCAGGCCTAGCTGCTAAACAAATGTCCTTTGTGCTACGGGAAAAAAAAGATAAAGAATGGCAACTTGATACATTGAGGCATTTGTATTGGCAAGTTCTTTTGCCAGGACACACTACATTAATGCCAGACAGTACACATTAAAACATGTATGCTCGATTGCACTACATATAGAACCAATGTACCAGAAAGCTCACAACAGTGCGGTGTTTAAATGTAGTCTACTTCAAAAAAAAGATTGATGCTGGCTTGAATGCTTACATCCTATCATTCACACAGAACCTAGAAACAACAATAGTAATGGTTCTTATACTAGTAGTGTTATATTTGGGCTGAACAGTGAATCAGTCAGACAGTGATGTCCCCTCTATTCTGTATAGAGTACATGTTCTCCAAATATTATAAGTTTATAATATTTTAAATTTAAAGTTATATTATAAGTGAGTTTTGTTTAAATAAAGCCAGCAACAGACAGCAAATTAGATTGTATTTGTTGTGTTTTCAGGCTGCTGCTGAATACAGCTTTGTAAGAAAATGCCAGGACGTTCACTTAATTGTATCAATGCCAGATGTAGAATCTAACGAGTCCGCTTATGGCTTGCATCTTCTTCTAAACAGTAAACAGTTCAGTTAAAGCTCGTATAAATCTGTCGAATTCAACTGAAAACATGCAACCAAAGGCATGAGATTGCTGAAAGCTCTTATGTGATCATTAAAGTCAAATGTATAATTTTCTTTGCTCACATTACATTTCATTCCAATACACTGCCGGCTTAATTTCTGTATAAATATATAGTATAAATGAGACTTTCTGCCTGTGATACTAAATATAAGTAAGCAAGGAAAGGCAATTAAGGAATGAGTCATTATCACAATTTTGCAACAGTATCTCAATAGACTAACAGCCAGTAAAAGCTGTAGTCATAGAGCTGTCCTGAAGCATGTTAGTAGCTTTAGTTTCTTAGCACAGAACATCCCTGCAGCTGTCATCGTGCACGGTTGAAGTAACAGAATTTCTCTACAGCTTTTGTCTCCTTTCTTCGTCTTATCTGCTTTTTCCTTTTTAATATTCCACACTGTCCTTTTCCCTGACCCACAGAGATTCGGAATGGTAATCTGAAAGCCATCCTCGGCCTCTTCTTCAGCTTGTCCCGCTACAAACAGCAGCAGCAGCAGGCACAGCGGCAGAACTCCCAGCCCTCTCTCCCTCCCGCCGCCCAGTCCCAGAGCACACACCCTCCCCTGAGCCAGCAGAGCAGCGCCCCGGCCCAGCTCAGCCACTCTCCGTATGGGACTCCTGCCATTACAGCCCAGAAAGCAGCACAGGCCGAGATGCAGTCCAGGTGAGGCTCACTGGCCCGTTCATGCAAAATCAGGAAACCGGAAGTAATAGAAATGTAACCTTGAAACTGGGTGAATGGGTTTTGTTTCCTCTGTATTCTTCACTTTCTTGCTGTTGCTGCTATTCTAATCCATCATTTTGTCATTTCAATCTCCGTGTTCACACTTCCTGTCATTTATAACTGTAAACCTGACCTCTCCGTCTCTGTCCTCTTCCATATATCCCTTCTCTTTCCTTCTCCTCTAGGGATGGGTCTCAGAGTAAACTACTCAAGTTTTCCCTTGGTCAGAAAAAGACCTCTAGGTCAGCTTCACCTGCCTTTCTGTTTTCTTGCTCCTCCCCTCTCTTTCCTCCACCACACCTCCTGTCCCTTCCCATTCCTGGAAATAGGAAGGTAGAAATTGCCCCTAATCAAGGATAAGATTTCCTGGTCGTGTAATGAGTTTCATGTTGTTTCTTTGTCCGTGATTAAGGGCAATCTCTACTACAAGCACTATCTAATATGCATGAGTGGTAGTGTTGAGCAGATAGGAACTAAAGCTCCAGGCTCCATTTTCGGACGTCCCTGTCTGTCTGGCAGCGCGCCTCATTTGGCAAGCCTGCTAAATGGGCTGTGAAAGACCTTTAGATAACCCTTAAGTAAGTGTGTATGTGCTTGTGTGTGTGTGTGTGTGTGTGTGTGGGTTTGTTTGACAAGCACATCCCCCATATAATGTGACATTAATAATTAACGCAGAGAGAATCTGTGGTAGGGAAGTAATAATAATACTGTGTCGTTCAAATTTATCTGATGTCTTCTTTCGCATTTGCCTCCTTTTTAGCATGCAGTGTCTCATTATGTGATGATGCACCTTGAAATTGGATTTAGGATGTGGTTTTGCATGCTGCCCATCCCAGATTCTGTTTGCATTGCACCTGCCCCACACCAGCTCCTCTCCAGAGCAATGCAATGGCCCCACCTTCTGGTCAGCATATGTAATTACAAGATGAAGAGTTGAGCTTCTCCTGGTGTGTTTCAGTCGAACATGGCTAAAATGTTCTCTCAAACACCTCAATCATAAAATATACAGACATCCTCAAATTGAACAGCATGCATACATTTTTTTTTTTTTACCTCTAATGGACTTTAAAAGTGTAAAAGGCTTATATAAATTCTTATTGCCTGTTTTATTTGTTTCTTTTTTATGAGCTATGGTTGGACCTTAAATAAATGAATCAATCTCTGTTTCTGAGATAAAGTGCACTGGAATTGAACAAATATGATAAGAGATCTATTCCACATCAGTACCATTCAGTCATTCGCAGGACAAACACAGCCACTGTGAAAGAATCTAAATGGAAGACAGTGCTTGCAGCACACATAAAAAACAACTTTAGACCAAGGTAAAACTTATCTGTATTTATTTAAACATGTTCTGTGTGGAAGTGAAAGAGCAAGCAATGCATTTCAGATGTGCTTTATAAAGAATAAGCGAAGAAGTAATACAATCACTTTAAAGTATACGTTTAAATAAATACCTAGAAGTTTTAAGTTGGTTCAGAGCTGAGTACTGGTGCACTGTAAGCCTTGGAACTGTGTTCTTTTTTAGCAAATATGATAATTATATGGAGAAAAACAACAGTATTTGATAATAAATTGAGAGGAAACAAAGGGCAGAGATGTGTCTGAGAGTGCTGTCCCTGCTCAACGCCCACAGACACATTCGTTTTGACACATTCCCTAAGCCCATATTCAAATTTTGAAATATATAAAGTTTTTTTTATAACCATCATGTCAAATACTTCTTCTATACACTGCTACTCCAAAGGGGGAAGAGAATAGATTGACTGGTCGTGCCATAATGGAAAACCAAATGGTCTCAGGCTACTCTTGACAAAATAATGCAGTAAAACTTATTACCTCACAATGGCCAGATAAATAATTGCCAGTCAAAGTGAATGGCATGCCGGAAATGAGAGTTCCATAATGTAAACGAGAGCTGAGACTGAGAGCTGTAATTTGCTTATCAGCATCCACCTCACAGTCCCAGGATGATGATGATGATGTTCGCTGGTGAATTAGCATTTCATTAGCAGTCTCTCTGCCACGGCCTGGTTTGATTGCAGCTTGGCTCACGGGCCTCACCAAAGGCAACAGACCAACTTACAATGTGGAATTAATGTGTCATAAATTTCACCAAGGCTTATCCACGGCCAGTATATCCTGTCTAATCCATGCAGGGAAATAAAGGGGCAGGATATGTAATCTGAGGCTGCTGAGCTCACAGCTCCCCTGGGACCTGCACTTTGTCAGCCTGTCTATTCATATATGTCCATGTAGTTGTGAGCTCATCTGTCTCCATGAGATTACTGCAGGTGTACATAGGGAGGTTGGGCCAAGCAGAGCTGCAAGAAAGGCAAACAATAGTTGAGTATATATTTGTTCAGGTACTCTGTACCTTCTAATCCAAGCCACTGACTTTTAGCCTGAAGATGAACCAGACGTAAACATGTATCGTGGGAACATTCGCTGAGTCTAAAATAGTACAAAGCATAAAGAAAGTCGTCAAAAATCCAGGCAGCAAGATGACGAGTGAGTGGTTAGTTTAGTCATCGATTTGTGGTAGACTTCACGTAACAGAGGTCAGAAAAAGTGTATATCATGTATTCAGCAACACTCTGGATGTTAAAGTACATCAATTTCCTTGGGCATCGACTGAAGTCACAGACTGAAAATTCACATTGTGAAAAATGCCCATCATTTTTTCAGCACTTTTCTTACTATAGTGACATGGTGCCTAGACAAAAAACAGAAAAAGGATGTAAAATGAATACTTTCTGCCATTGCCTGAACCGTGTGACGTTCAAACAGATGTTATACATTTTGGACGACACGCTTGGGCTTCTCTTTACGTTGCATACGTTGCATACGTTTCTTGCAAATGCAGAAGGATTAGATGCTCTACAAGTGCCATTTAACCTTTGCAGCGTGTTCCGTCTGTTCACATAAAACGCTTACTGAATAAATCTGCAGCTCTCCTGTACCTGCATGGTCCCTGTACACTCATTCCTAATTGAGCAATGCCCTGGATGGTCTGGATCTGTGCTTGTCCCAGCAGAATGTATTTTAAACCTGCAGTAGCCGAATTTGTTCCCTCAGTGTGTGAGATGAGGGAGTATTCAGAAGTTCTCGTATCGCCTTCAGTCATAAACAAACTCAGTGTTTGTCCTATTTATTCCCTCTTTCTGTCTTTCCTCCTTTGTCTTCTTTACTTCCCTCTCTCTCTTTCTTTCTCTTTCTCCCCATCAGACTTCCTGGCCCCTCGGCGAGGGTGTCCACTGCCGGCAGTGACATCCCTCCAAGAGGCTCGGTCAGTGCTGCTGGGAACCGACGCAGTCAGGGCTTCAGTGACAAGACCAAAGCCAACTCGCACCTGAACAAAGGTAGGCCTCATGTACAACCACACACACACACACACACACACACACACACTGACATGCTTAGTTTTGGTCTCGGATGGCTGTAAATACCATCATTATAACACTGAGATGGTGTGTGTGTGTGTGTGTGTTAGAACAGAGACAGTACCCTTGCAGCTCTTAAAAATGTTAAATTGTTGAAGCATTCAGGACAAATTTAAGGTGAATTGTGAATCCTCTGGCTGCTCTTTGTTATCATACTTGAAAATGCAAGTTAGCTCTGTTGCTTTGAGACCAAGAGAAAGTATTAAAAACTGTGCCGGAAAACAATGCATAGCCCTCAGCGTCGCACGCTGCACTGAAACAGCTGTGTCCTTTCAAGAGAAAACAACAGAGAATACATGAGCACAAAATCAAGATGTTTTTAGTGAATAAATGGCCTCATTTAATGTTTCAGTCCATGTCAATTCGGTTAATTCTGAAGGTTGATATTTCACATCATAAGGAGAGAGTGTTTATTTCTGACCCTTTTTATGACAAACATTCAGTTGATGGAAACTCTCAAGTTTTGCCTTTGAACCTGTGTCCAGTTGCTGTTTTTGGCAGATGGTCACTGTATAAAAGGTAAGGTGACAAGCTGTGATTTATTAGAGTATGAGTTAAGGTAACCTCCATTCGGCTGTTGCACGCAGACTGTGTCCGTCCCCACAGGTGGAGAGGTTAATGCAGGTGTGTGACGAGCTGGAGCCGTTTCAGCTCCCATCCGAACCTTTTAGGGCATTTATGCTTTGGTTTTAGAATTATTTTGAGACTTTGCTCAAAGGTTGCATCCAAAAATCTGTTTCTTATTCTATTAATTAATTGTGATACTTTGTCGTAGCTGCTTGATTAGTCTCAGGTAAACAGTATTTTTATTACTTTTAATTTTGAAATTGTTTAGTCTGGATGAACAGCGCCCTCTCCCTGTATGGTAAAGTTAAACAATCCAGCAGAATTATTTCAGCTTTGTCTCATAAGCTGCTGTTGCTGAGGCTTGAATTAGCTGTACCAAATGTAGAATGTTTCACTTTAGATCACAGCACAAAAGTTGACCCTGAATCTGGAAGGGAAGAGATTTAAACTGCTGAGTGTTTTATTCAATTCCTATAACACGTGATATTTACCTTCTGCTCACTGTTAGTGGTATGGGCAGCAGAATTTAAATTTTTTTGATGAATGGACGGTTCTTAATATAAAGGCTACTTGAGAGTAGTTGCTACAGTTTTGTGCCCAGTTTGCTCTTCTGCTGATGTTACATGGTTTCATTCAACAACGCAAGATAACATCATTTAAACATAGCGGGAAAGTACAACCATTGTAGGATTCTCCAGTTTACTCCCCGTCTACTGTTTGAGAATCAAGAATAGACCTGTCTTCTGTCGTATGTTTGCATTCGAGTCGGGACTGTAGCTACTCTCACACGTTTATTCCAAACCTCCCTGACCCAGTTTAACTCATTCTGCCCAGTGTTAGTGTTCTGCAGAATACACACCAAGTGTTTGGCAGTATATTCAACGAGACCAGTGTTGAAATAGCTTCTGTCCCAACTCAGTGCGCCAAGGCTTTATATAGAGTCTGTTAGTGTTCACAGTCTAAACTCATTACCCTGCATTAGACAGAGAATTCTGACCGCCCAGAGAGAGAGAGAGACAGGGCCACAGAGACATAGAAAGGAAGAGAGAGTGTGTGTGAGTGTGTGTGTGTCTGTGTGTGTGTGAGAAAGAGAGAGAGAGAAAAAAAAAGTGTGTTGTCTGTGTTTAAACAGTGACAAATTAACTGGGACCAATGCTGTGAGCGGCACTGTGCAGCACTTATTCTGATGTGCAGCTCCACTGGAGATTGGGGGACTTTGACGTGGACAGTTGTGTGTTTGTGGATGTTAGATTGAAAAGATTGATACTACTCATATGTCTGTATGCTAAACATGAAGCTATAGCTAGCCATTAGTTAGCTTAGCTCAGCATAAAAACTGAAAAAAAAGCGACACAGCTAGCCTGTCTCTGACCTCTAAAGCTCACAAATTAACAAGTTACGTCTTGTTTGTTTTATCCGTACAAAAACTGAAGTTTAAAAACAACAATTAGTGGTTTTCTTGGCCTGACCAGTGACTTTCTGGAGTCTTGTGACTGTGTGGTTGCCAGGCAACTGCTAAACTAAGCTAACTGGCTGCTGGCTGTAGCTTCATATTCATGGTATAGACACACAAGTGGTATCAATCATATCGATGTAACTCTGGGCTTCAAATCGAATAAAGTATTTCCCAAAAAGTTGAACTACTCCTTTAATATTAAAGGTGGTAGTAGGAGCAGTAATAGTAGTAGTAGTAGTTGTAATGGTGTGTAGTAAGTACAGAAAGGATCATCTTCAGATCAACTTAGTTAAAACGCTGTTTACATTAACAAAGTTTAACCAACCTATTTACCAACCTGGCATGCAGGTGTGTGTGTATGTGTGTGTGTGTGTGTTTTATTTATGTTTTAAGGCCATATGATTGGCAGCAGGTAGGATGAGAATCACTTGTCGACGCTCCTCCTTCTTGGCCTGTTGTTGACATGCTTCCAAGCCCCTCCCCTCTGCCATAGCCCTGCACGACAGTCCTCCTCCTCCTCCTCCTCCTCCTCCTCCTACACTCCCTGGATGGCTGGCCACGGTTTTGGACTCTTTCCTCCTCTCCTGTCCATCTCCTCCTCTCCTTTATTTCTTTTTCTGTTCCTCCTGGACGTCTGCAGCACCCATGAGGTTTGTCAAAATGCACTTGTAGATCACCAGAACTGCAGGTTATACTTTCAGATGTATAGCTTGAGCTTTGCACTGAACCTTTGAAAGTATGGTAGCAGATTTTGTCAGTTTTACTGGTTTGTTGTTGTTGCTGCAGCTAGAAACGTGGGCATTTTTAATGCTGCAGAAAGCAGGGTTTTTTTCTGTGAGTCCTGTCATGTCAGTTGCTTTTTGTAAGAAGTAATGGGGTTATAGGGACTTTTTTCTTCTTGCTGATTTGGTCTGAAACTGACACTGTTTTTGAATTTCCTTTTGTTTCTAAGGTGTCATTAAAAATCTGACAGCGTCTGTCTTATATTACAGTTTAGTTTTTGCCTTCCAAAAGCATGTTGGGACTTGAATGTGCCACACATTAAGTTACACATGCTTGTTGTGAGACAGTGTTGCAGCAGGTTCAGATGGTCAGAAAGACACCTGCAGCTTCTTTTGTGTGGCCAGATCTGCTCTGTGTCAATGGCTCTGACACCAGAATGGAGTCACGTTACTGCACGGCTGTACAGTGAGGAAACAGACCTGAATCTTCTCTTCTGCTCTGCGTTAACGCAGGGTGACAGTGTCTGGGTGTCCACCAAGTGACACAGAGCAGAGAGACATAGAGAGCAAGGGGCACCTGTGGTTGTGTGTTTGTGTATGTGCACGCTTCTGTTGACCATGTATTTGTGTGTGTGTGTATTTGTATGGCTGGTGCCCTTGCTGAATGAATAGCCTTCTGATGAGCTGTAGCGTCACTATTTGAGTGTATTCATGTGGAGAAACTTTAAAAAGTTTCAGTCTCCACACAAAAGCCGGCTGTCCCTCTCACTTTTTGGAGTACAATGACTGAGGAGAGAGAGAGAGAGCGCGAGAGAGCACAGGCTTCTGAAATCAGAACATGATGAGTAAGCAAACACCTGCTGGGTCAAACTTTGTGCCAGTCTGATATCATTTGTGCATGTCTATGAAGGTGTCAGTAATGAAATAAAGCTGATCAGGGAGAACTGTTCTCACAATGCTCCCTCTGTGCAGCACATGGGAGAAATCTTGTCTGCGCCTTGGGTTTTGAAGCAAAACATGTTTTCCATCTTGCTATATGTGACTTGTATGTAAGTAGGGGCATATTCAGGTCAGCAATTTGGTCGCTGAGTGACTGAGAAGGTTTAGCTTAATGTCTTGTGACCAGTGCGACCATGAGAGGGGTTGGAGTGCCTGTGATGTCTAAACAGTATCAGCCGACACTAATTCTAATACATTAAATGCTTTTGTGTGTGTGTGTGTGTGTGTGTGTGTGTGTGTGTGTGCGCGCGCAAGTGATCGTGTACTTGCTCTGGTCACCGGTCCTGCAGTTACACAGAGGTTAAAGTGTTTGAAGTTGCTGAGCAGAACAAATATCCCCCTCTCTCCTAAACTTGACATGCATGCACAGACATGTACACACACTCAGAGAAGAGTGTTGACGCTTGTGTGAAGTTACATGGTTTTCCTCAGCTGTAGACAAGCATTAACACACGCACAGACGCATGAGTGTGACGATCCGTGAAAAGAGCTGTGGGTCCACTTTGGATGATTTCCTAAAATGCCTTGATGTTATCAGGAGGCTCTGAGAGGAGTAGGCAGCTGGGATGACCCTGAGACAGAGTCGGAGAGGGTGAGACAGGTTTTAAGTGCGGTGGTGGTCTGCAATCCTTTTTCCTTCGGGCACTCCTCAACTGTCATTTTCTGCTCCTGGTTTTATTCTCTAATGACTGCTATAATTAAGCAGTTTGGTTGTAAACAGTGAAATTCTTTCAACATGTTTCCTGAAGGAGACAGCTCGACCAGCACAGTGAAAGGGGGGCAGTGGTGCAGTTTAATTCCAGGATTTGGCCCAAGGCTGCACAGGGTCATTAGGTCAGTGACCCATTCTTAGGGCATGTTCAAACAATTCTGTGTTTATTTTTGAAGGAAAAGTGCTTCCTCAAGTCCATTTTGTGCTGATAATGAAAAGCCGGTGTCTCAAAATGCAGCCAGGAAAGAGCCAGATTGATCCATAGTGACAGTTTATGATCAGAGTATTTACTAGCACTTTTTCTACTAGGTCTTTATCCATTTGGTTGTGGTTATTGTCATTTATTATGAGGGTGTCTTTTAAATCTTAAAATGTGAACTTTTCCCATCTTGAGGAAGCATATGGCTGTGCCTAAAACAAGACATCTGAAGCACTTTTTTAAAATTGAATCCTTACCCCACCTTGTGGCCATCAGTAAATGTAAAAAATCTGGTTAAATTCTGAAACAGCAAAAAAGACACTTTAATCTAACTTTGGTACTTTTTTCATTTGTGACGTGTTTTAGAAGTGTTGAACCTTGTCTGGAAACCTTGGTTGGGTTTATGATGCAACAGTGTCCAAGTCCATCTCTCTAGTGTCACTTCTGACCCAACACGTTGAAGATTGACCACTTTCCTTCACCCTTGGCAACCCAACTGGAGCGTGTCAGTCCCGGTCACTGGGTCCAGTCACGACAATGACCAGCTGTCCCAGTGTCCAGGGCCTCTCCATGTCATGCCTTTCTTCTTGTGTTCCTTTCTGACCCGAAATCCAAACTGACCCCATTCATGGACAGCACAGACTGTCCTGCTGGCCCGCATCAAAGCTTCACTCATCCCAAACTTGCAGTACCAGTCCCCTTATTCTCACTGCCTGCTCCATAATCACAGCAGGTCCCCCTCTCATTCAGCCACCTCCAATAGGAAGCCAGCTATTACCAACCTGACCCACTTTTCCGATTGCTAACTGCTAGCACGGCTAATTGGGCTCTAATTACTTCCTAATGGCTGCATTGTTTCAGGCTGCTCTCACTAAATGCTAAACAGGGGGAGAAAGGAAAGGCGGCGAGCGAGTGCCTATTTCCAATTAGGGCATGAAAGGCGCTGTAAAAATGAAATAAAGTGGAGAGCCAGATGAGAAAGGGGTAAACAAGTGGGTTTAGTGTTTAATATTCCGCGTAAATTCTGACTTAATGAGACCATATGAATAGCATATGAATATGGGATTAATGTAGCCAGCGTGAATTAAAGAAAACTTCACTCATAACCAAATGAGCACTGTGAGAGTTATATGATCATTTTCCTGTGTGAACCAGTGAGAAGACAGAGAGGGATTTAACATGCACCGTCTTTAGTTATTTTCATATATGTTTGAGCACCAAAAGTCTTATTTTCTTTCTCTTTCTGATACATGAACTAATTCTGTGTTCTTTCAAGATAATGTCACTTCCTCAAATTCTTAAACTGTTTGATTTGTACTGGAAAAAGGTTGTGACATCCTCCACACTGCTGATCACTTGTATTTACTTATGTAAAACAGTGCAGGAAATAACTTACTGGAAAAAGTTTGAAATGTGTTTTGTCAGTTGCCTTAAGAAAACAAAAATTAAGGGTTGTATTAAGACCCTGTAAGAAACCATGGGTCTAGGCTGACTACAGTTGTATGAGGCACAGCACAGCAGCAGCAGTGACTTGGAATAAGTCTGTGTTTGTGTATATGTGTGAATGAGTGTTCGTGTGTGGGGGGATATGTTGCAACAGAACTGTTATGATTAATTCCAACCAGTGCTCCCTGCACAGGCCCTCTCTCTCACTGGCCGTTGGTATTTGAATATTCAAATATTACTGGTCTGAACTCTGTGCTGCTGGTAGCACCACACTGATATCAACATCAGCAACCCTCAGGATACTCTAGTTCTCAGTCAGCACAGTGACTTACACCAGGGATTTCAGCTCTCCTCTTGCTCCTTCAGTTCTTTGGTAAGTTTGCTCGCTGAGATGAGAGTCATTTTTTTTTTCCGCGTTTACCCAGACAATTTTTATTTGGGTGATAAATCTGTAACAATGGTTTTACTGGAGCATGTTTACACTGCAGAAAATACTTTCTTTTCAGTTCATCTCCAAGTTAAACTGTATTATTACTCTGTTTATGAATCTTATCTATGAGAGACTGAGTACATGTTACCAGATGTAACTAGACAGGGCTTCTTTGTAAAGCAGAGGGATGCTGACCAAAAGCAGTCCATATAAGTCCAAGCCTTATAAGTGCAGCAGAACTGCTTCTTGACTCGGCCTGCTTGGCAAGGCTTTAAAGCACTTGAGCCTGCTCCTCATTGTTTTTATAAACAGTTTGTGATGGACTCCTCATTGTTAGTGCTAAAGGGTTTTTAACAGTTTTGGTGGCTAGCCCAAAGAAAAGTAATGGCACATTTGGCTGTATGAACAAGCCACCTCCAGGCCCTTATAAGGCCTCTCTGTGTGGGGTCAAAGAAGCCTCACCCACAGCATCTGGTTTCTCTTCTCTCTCCCAGATGCTCCCTCTGCTTAACTTTTCCCCTCCTATCTCATTGTTTAATAAAATGTCTCTTTTCTGGTGCAGATTCCTCAGAGGGCATGACCTCACAGCCTTCGGTGATGACTGAGCATGCTCTTTCATCTGCAGTGACTGTCAGCTCCTCCACCAGCATCCCCGCTGCTACCTCCGCCCAGATTCCTCCTCCATCCTCGTCGTCCTCATCCTCTTCCACGGCCATTCCCCAGCCCAACAGCAACAGCAAACCTTGGAGAAGCAAGTCTATGAGCTCCAAGCACACCTCCTCTCCTCTATCCTCCACCAGCACCCCCTCATCTGCCATGCAGTCTGTCAAGGAGAAGGACACCTCCTGTAAGGCCCTGGCAAGTGAAGCTCCTCCTAAGGTTGTCGCTCAGAAGTCAATGCTGGAGAAGCTTAAGCTCTTCAACAGTAAAGGAGGCTCCAAATCTTCCAGCTCGTCCAATGGAGCCGGGGCCCAGGCTGATAACGCTGCCCAAGCCAGGCAACTCGGAGCAGGGCAGGTAGAGAGAGCGGAGACTGGTTCTAACACTGACCCCCTGGAGGAAGATGATGGCAACGTCCGGCCGGGAATGAACGGGACGAGCAATGGGACGGCCTACGGAGCAGCTCCCTCAGCAGGTACTACTGTCGCCACAACCGCCAGCAGCCCCAAAATCGCCCTGAGGGGCATTGCCCAGCGCACTTTCAGCAGAGCTTTGACTGCCAAGAAGAGCTCGGTCAAAGGAAGCGAAAAAGAAAAGGACAAGGAGAGGGCAAAGGAGAAGGAGAAAGCGAAGGAGGTAGGGAAACGCACCTCTGTCCCCGACAGGACAGAGCTCAGGGGGGAGGAGCCTAAGGAGGAAGTAGCACCCGTTGCTGTAGACACAGACAGTTCAAACAAAAGGACCTCTAAAATCACCAGCTTCATTCCCAAGGGAGGTAAAGTGGCCAAAAAGGAGAGTTCCACCCCTGCACACAGCGGAATACCAAAGCCAGGAAGCAAAGCCCCGGGAGTCGGGGGGAAAGCCTCCTCAGTGAAGGAGGCTGGTGAGAGGCCTCGGAGCATGCGGTTAGGAGGGGGTCTCGCCATGCACCGCGGCCCCCTGGACAGAGATAGAGACAGGGACAGCAGACACTCCAGCTCTACTTCCAGTCTGGCCTCCACAGAGGGAAAGAGTAGCGCCGCCCCTGGGGCAGGAGGAGGCACTACACAGAGCACAGCCAGCAACACGGTCAGCGTGCAGCTACCTCAGACTCAACAGCACCACAGCCACCCCAACACGGCCACTGTTGCACCGTTCATGTACAGGTGAGATCACACAGACTTGGTCTGGAGAGTATATGTCTATATTTAGTAGTTTGCTACCACATATCACTAAATATTTGTGACTAAATAAGTTAAATCTAAATCATTAAAGTTTTCAACGATTTAGTTGAAAGATCTCCTTTAAGAATTAGTTTAGCTTTATTATTGTCTTATCACTATAGAAGCTGAGCTTGCTGGCCACAACACAGCCAGTAAGATCAGGCTTCATAAAACACTGATAACACGTCATTAAACCATTGCACACTGCACATCTGGCTATGACTAAAAGTCATACACACTGAAATATTTTCCAGAATTGGTATGGTTGAATTCTTCAGTGACTACTGTTTAAAGTGGACAAATATTTACTGGAGTGTATTTGTTCAGTTGTAGACCTGATAACAGTTCTGGGTATGCTGTTCTGGTCTATCTAAGCTTTTAAATAACTACAAATTGGTGTATAACCCTCTAATATAACTGTGATAGAATTGTACATGTCAAAGTCTTCACATATCTGATTCTCTGACGGCAAGTAAAAAATCAAAAAAATAGCCATCTGTGGGCTGTTAACCAGGAATGTGACATCTGTGTATGTTCATGTGTGTGTATGCACAGGGTATTGTCTGCATGTGTGTGCACACTTTTCTGGGCAAATATGTGTGGATGTTGTGTGCCTCTGACCTCTGTACTGGTCCCAGTGTGATAAGGAAGGAGGTCCCTCTCGTTCTCAATGAGTTCTTTCTAACAGCCACTCATTAGCCTCCTGACACTTCCTGCACTGCTGCCCTTTCTCCCTCTGTACATCCTGACCTGTAGCTAACCAACCCACATTTCCAAAACACCCCCATTCTCAGTACTCAGAAACTTCCATTTTTGCTGTATACCTGTCAGGTACCATTACCAGCAGGATTATACCACCTCCACCTGTCAGAAAGAGTATGTTTTGACAGAAAATTCAAGAAATAAGACTCTGATGAGATGTCTAAACTGACTTTTTCCCTCACCTACCCACCTAGGACTGCACTCTGCCAGAAATAGAGATCAGTTAACCGGAAGTTTAAAAAAGTTTAGATGCTGTCATTTTTTCTGGAACTGTAAGCGGCAGTCAGTGGTTTTGACTGACTCACACTCAGAGAGAGTGTACAGTAGTCAACAAGGACAAAGTCTAGGATCAGACAAAGACCAAAGGCTGCATATAACCGAGGCATTTGAACGTCATCGTCTCAAAAAGCACCAGCCAGTGCAGGAACTGGGGAACTGTATTGATTTATCCTTCAAAGACAACCTTTATAAGCATTTGGGGCTTAGCAGGCGTTCATTTTGGACCCAAGTCACAAGACTTGAAACACAGCAGATTTAATTCTTAATCAGGTTTATCCCTCTTTCGTGACAATTTGCTGAATATTAGGTTTGCACTAAATGCACAATAATTCAGAATCGATGATATCCTCCCTTTGATCCCTTGCACAATTTGTATTACCAGATCCCAAACAGACTGCGACGGAATAGGCAACCCTGAGACCGGCTCAGGAGGAATAGGTGGAGACATTTCCTTCACCAAGACCAGTCAGCTCTCCATCGAGGACCTTTCAGGTGGGTGATCACTCACAATACAGGGTCTCTGTTCAGAATAGATGAATTATGTTTTATTGTGCTGGTAAATATTTCTGAGCTTGTTTTTTTTTCTTGCCTTGCTCAGCTGAAGACCCAGAGACGAGGCGGTTGCGTACTGTCAAAAACATAGCAGACCTGCGGCAAAACCTGGAGGAGACCATGTCCAGCTTGCGAGGAACTCAGGTCACACACAGGTAAAAATCAAATAAATGTATTCTCCCAGCTAGTTTGAACTTGAATCTTGTTGATTTAATGCTGCACCCCAACTGACACCACTTACTCTGCTTTTGAGGAATTGTTTGAAGTAAATAGTAATTTAACAAGCCTCTTTTACTTCTTTATTTTTTTATTAATTTATTGTGATTCCATTTATTTTTATCCCAAATTGTTTACCGCAAACCTTATTGTAAAAAGACTCTCAAAGAGAATATGGGAAAAGTTAAAAAGGAAAGTAACACAATATTTTTTTAAATCATTTTCCATTCAACTCGTCACTTCAGCACTGCTCCTGAAGTTTAGAAACTGTGTTGCAGTGGAAAACAAAACTCTACTGTTTGGGGATCATCAAAGTGTAGCGCCTTACAATGGCTGCTGCGGCTGAGTGGTAAACAGGCCAAATCAGGATAAATGTTGGGGATTTGAGTCAGTGACTGAACTGCCTCATGGTCAGCAGACTGTGTCTGTCTAGGCTTACAGGTATTACCTCTCGTTGCTGTCTCATCCTTCTTTTGAGGGATCTTTTACTTTGATCGCAGGGCATGTCTTTCATGTCGTCTTTGATTCAGGTTTAGCTCTAATCACGTTCCCTCCCACAGATTTTTGACCTCTGCTCTGGTCTCACGTCTCAGTGCTGACCAAGCTGTCTAGGTCTGTTGTAAGGTTCATATCATCTGTTTTTATGCTTTAGACCATAACAAAGGATCTCTTATCTTTACTTTTTCCCTGTCTGTTCACCAACAAGATCATGCCTTTTTCCACTACTTGTTTGGCAGTTGTTTGCCTGTACTATAGTCTGTGCTGTATCTCAAAAGTGAACAGATTTCTGTGAAATTTGGTGAATTAATTCAAGAAACAAGAAACGATTGATCTGGTTTTGGTGGTGATCCAGATGCATGTTCCTCACTATAAGACAATTATAGAGAATCATTGGAGATTTTATCTATACTGTAACTATGAAAGTCCCTTAGCTCAGTCTATTCTCTGAGCTGTGTCATGGCTTTTTCTACTACTGCGAATTAGGTAAAATAATCAATAAACATTAAAAATGTAGATGTCATTTTTGTGTGTCACCCTGTGTGTTAAAATACCTGTAAATCAGTTTTGAATGATGGTTCTGGTCTTGTTTTTATGCCTTTTGGTAATTGGGTTTTCCTTTTGTTTACATGTGGATCACAGATTGTGTCTTTATTCTCTCCTCTACATCTCCTTCTCTATCTGCTCAGCACCTTGGAAACCACCTTCGATGGCAGCGTCACCACTGACATCAGCAGTGGCGGAGGTGGCAGCAGCGCCAGCAACAACAGCGGAGGGAGTCGGAGCATCCTCAGCCTCACTTCTACCCGACCTTCCCTGGCATCATGGCGACTGGGCCAGTCCAGCCCTCGCCTGCAGGCAGGCGATGCCCCCTCTATGGGGAACAGTTATGGCGGCCGGGCGGTTGGCAGCCAGGGAGGACGCTACCTGTACCCTGGGCACCTCCGACGGCAGCTGGCTGGCAGGGGAGGAGCCCTCTGCAGCGTGGACCTCGGAGACAGAGCTGGGGAGGACATTGACCTGGACAGCATGTCTGTGGAGGTCACTGGATACATGAGCGACGGAGACGTGCTGAGCAAGAACGCTACGCGCACTGATGATGTCACCAGCGGGTAAGTGGATTACAATTTTTTTTTTTTTTTTAATCCAAGAAGCAGGTGTTGAAATGGATAAAGCTGGAACAATAGTGGATGAATTGCCACATTGATTGACAAAGAGTTTCTCAACAGCAGTTTTGTTCATTTATTAAGTAAAAATTCCAAACATTTTCTGGTTCCAACTTATTTGCTTCTTCTCTCTGTGTTTTATCATTGTAAGCAGAATGCCTTTCAGGTTTTGTTTGTTGGTTGGACAAAACAAGCAATTTGAAGATGTTACCTTGGGCTCTGGGAATTTGTGACAAGCATTTTCCACTGTGTGCTGATTTTATAGACTAAATTAATACAAACATATAAATGGACAAATCTAATGAAAATAATCAGTAGCTGCAACCCTAGAAATTACGCCCTTTTGTGGTACGAGTGAGCGAGACATTCAGCACATTATCTGATTATTTTTAATGATCATAACAGCTTTAAAAGGCTCTTCTTGAGCTCCATTTTACCTTGTGATGTGTTTAAGTAAGTCAGTTAACACAGTACCTGATTCTGTATTCAGTCATCAAAAGCCATCTACAAGGTGACAGACACTATTTTTATGATAAATGTATAATTTGTAAGTTTGGCCAGGAAAAAAGATTACTAGTAGAATCTATTTATTTTGACATCTCTTCGTAGGCAAACCAAAAACTGTATTTCAGACACTTGCCTATCCATTTTCTTTAAATTTTTCTACATTCTGCTACCATAGCAGTGTGTACTTACACAAGAAAACCTTAAACACGTTGTTATGGTTCATTATAATATGGGAAGTTATCATTCAAAACAAACTGACAGTAAAAGATTTCTTATCAAACAAGGATGAAAAAGAGAAATAGCTGTATAACTGTATAGCTTTCACATGTGATTAATGTAACCTTATAGGCTGTGAGTTTTGCCAGAAGAGGGCAGTAGTGTTCCTTGCTCACTAGTGATCCAAGTGCCAGATGATATCCCGCAGTTTAGCCTCAGTGGCATAAGCAACATTTATTCTGTATCGCTCGGATTCCACCAGTATCCCATCTCTCTGTCTGCAGACGCAGTAATGCTGATATGCTGATAACCTGTATTTGCTCTCTCAAACCCACTGTCCGTGTTGTAACAGGCCCCTTGCATACCTTGGCTGACACACTGTGCAATTTAAACCTCTGCCGTCATCATTATTATCAGATGAAGTTGTAAAAGGCGCCTACTCGCCTCCATATGGTATCGAAAAGCCAGAGACAGAGAGACCAGGGTCTGGTAAAAGCTGCTTCGGGGATTAGTTTGAATTAAAATAAATGCAAATGTAGAAAGAAGTCCTTGAGCTCAGCAAAGTAAGGTGATAAAAAAAAACACAGAGGGAATTACTTCCTCTGGCCCCCATGGATTTGCACTTCACCAGCCCCGAGGCAGCTGTAGAAGTTGAGGGAGCTAAGTGTTCTTGAAGTACTTGATACGTCTGAATCTGTGGCTGAGCAGACAAAGGACAAGCCACAGCCACACCTGGACAGGTGAGTGATGTGATCTGGTGAGCAGAGCTATTTGCTCACTCTGAAAACTTGATATCCAGGCTGGGTCTGACCTATTAGGAAGGCAAGGCAAAATATAAATAATGTTCCTCAAAGAATTTTGTGATCTGATATCGTCTGGGCTGCAGTTACCGTTTATTTTCATTATGCACTTTTCATTCTTGAATGAATTGATACAATAGTCTTTAAAATGCAAGACATTTTGGGAAATGCCTATCAACAATGGGTGAACCATTTAAAACAGACACAGACTGATGACCTCCCCCAACCCCTCTCCGCATCCTCAGGCCATTTAGAGGTTAGCTTCATCACAGGCCTGTTAGCATCCACTTACTGGTTCTTCCACACATGGGTGGGATGTTTACCCAGAGAGGAGGGGCTAGTATTTAGATTACAGCACTATAGACTGTCACAGTTCTACTCTTATTACCACTTAAATGTCAATTAAAAGATCAGTTCACACAAATCACAAAATAAAGATGTGTTTTCTCCTCTACTGGTATCTGGTCATACAGATTGTTCTGGTTTTATTTGTTCAGATTTTATCTGAAATGTATGCTTCCATCTCAGTACAATGGAGGTGAGTGGAATTTATTTTGTGGTGCTCAAAGCAATAAAAAATGACACTGAGAAAATTCTAAGGCATCTCTTTCCAGAATGTCCCTGTGACAAGAAATAGAAAGAAATAGTCCACATCAATCTTTCAGAACAACATACAGCCAGAGATTAATGTCATCTCCGATTAATCAAATATCAATAATAAAAACAATTGTTCAGCTCTAGACATTTAGAAGTAGCCCAACTGTAAAATGAGATTACTGGATCAGCATTTATCTGTCTTGATAGTTAATTTATTTAGTGCTACAACACAGACAACATGACTGATGACACCACATTTAGTATCTACATCCAATCTCCAACCCCCTCCTTTATTTTTCCTTTTCGGCTTCTCTGGCCCTTGGAGACAAGGGACCCCTCCCCACCCCACCCTCCACCTCCTCAGCTCGGGGGTATGTTGCCCGATCTACCCTTCTGCCCTCCCCCCTTCCTCCCCTTCCCTCCCATCCCTCCTCCACCTTTCACAGACAGACCCAACCTCCAGCCAGGAGGGAAACGCATGTGGAGCTGAAGAGAGAGGCTGCATACCAACACTGAGCTCCCACAGAGCAACACACACATTCAGGCTACACACAATCCATACATTGAGAGTTCAGTGATATTGTTCACCCTCTTCTGATATCACCATGATCAAATACACTCTCACCTAGTGATTTTATTGACACAACAGCAGATCCCGCACACAGGTTCAGACCTGATAACAGACAGTAGCCAGACAGTTGAAAACGGACACCTTTGCTTTGGAGATTTCTATCAGGGATCAGCCCTCACCTGGACTTGTTTATTTTGCTTTGGACAAACTGTGTTACCATGTTTGAGGCAGAAAGGTAAGTTTTTTTAAACCATCAACAGAATTAAGAAGCTCTAGAGGCAATTGTTTGTTTTTTGCTGAGCGTGACATTTTGTGAATTTCCTCCTGTCAGTAGCACAGTGCATGCATTCTTAGTAAGTCAAATATTTCTGTAGTTTCATTTACACAGGAACTTTTGCTTCTGTTATATGCACGGCTGTGTCAACTCTACCTGGCTGCTTGGTTTCAGCACTTAAACTGTCTTGTTTAGACACGTTTCTCCTGGTGCAGAAGGTTACAGGTTAACAGGTATCTGAAACAGGAGGACAGGGAGGTTCAGTTACTCATTAGTGTGACGGAGTGATATGTGTGTGTGTGTGTGTGTGTGTGCCCAGCCGTCTTCAAGGTGACTTTGGGTTGGAATGATGGATGCCTCCCATAAATTACTGCTAACCCCCCTCTGTGTAGATTCTCTGTCAGAGTTGAACTGTCTTCATTGTCTGTTGTCTCTGTTGTTATTGTGAAAATCTGCGACACATCAAGTTTTATATCAATGAAGGAAGATGTGTTTTCATTGTTTTCATTCAATCTGTCTGATTGAATGTGTAAATAGGTATTTGTCTGACATTTGGTGATCCATGGATTATTTCCTTTAACTTCAGTGGTGGTAAGGATTTATAATTCTCTATAGCATAAGGCAGTTTAATTCATACCGGCTTAAAAACAGTAATAAATATAGCACAAGACATAAAAAACAAAATAAATTGAATTGATGAAACCATTTTAGTAATTTCTGATGAATAGTTAGGGTTCATAAAGGCAGCTGAGAATATAGAAGTCCTGTTTCTTCTTGAAGTTTGTTCCAGCTCTTCGTTGCATGGTAACAAAATGCTGAATCTCCATGTTTAGTTTGGACTCTTGGTAATGGTTAACTGAGCGTTACCAGATGACCTGACAGAGTAGCCACAGCCTTTATACTGCATTCATGTTCTGGTGAGAACATCTGGCACTTTCAGGTTAGCTGCTAAAACTGAGTTTTTCTTCACATCTAACCACAGTGAATCATCACCCATCACTGCAGTTCCCCTCTGCGCTACAGACCTCTTTTAGCTCATTGTTTTGTTTTTTTCAGCCTGCAAACTCAGCTCTCATCGACCTCATTTTCTGCAGCCGTGTTGAGTAAAATATCTGATAAACACACAGACAGGCAAGTTAACAGTTAGCTGGTGAATAAATTAAACATATAGCAGCTAAAAAGCCAGATATTTTCCTCAGGAAGTTGGTATAGACCAAATGAGACCTGAAGGAGAGTGAATAGTTGACTTACATTCATCAGATGGACACAAACATGACTCCAAATGAATGCTAATGTCGCTCTGCATCTGCTGGATGTGAAGTAAACATTCACAATAGCTTTATAAGGCGATGATATGTCGTATTCAGCTTCTTTGTGGCCACAAAAATTTCAATTAATGCAGCTTTTAAAATAATTAATTCATAATCATAGTTGCATCTTCTACATTATAAATGCTGCAGTTTGTTCTGTGCAGGCTCGCTCTCTGCTGAGTGACTCGTGGTTGCCGTTAGGTTTCTGTCCCGCAGCTCAGATGCTGATTCTGTCTGACTGCAGGTTACACAAAGGAGCTCTGTCTATAGGGAACACTGTACTCTGTGTATACTGTATTTACATGAAGGTATAAATGTGTGTGTGTGTGTGTGCTGGGTTCTCTCTTGCTGAGATCCACATAGAGATAACACAGAAAGTGTTTTAGTGGTCGTGTTCTTGATGGGCTTATTTTTCTACTCACTTAACTGCAGAAGCCGAATCATCACAGTCCCACACAGAAAGCATTCACCATTTGAACAGTCCCGACTCAACTTTAAATCAGCAAACATTTCATTAAATTACACATGGGTTAAATGAGTCAATATTTAGTTCCATTAAGAATCTCCTCCATGGGCAAATATTTGGGGAATTAGTTAGTGTTGTTTTAGTTTGAATGGGAATGTTTGTGTAAGTGTTCAGGGATTCAGCATCAGCTTCAGACTGTTGCTGCTGCTAACGGTCAGACTCCAACAACCAATAAATCAAGTCCCTTCGAAAGTAATTTTCCGTTATGAAATGAAGTGAATGGCCTACTTAGCCTGCACTTATATGTACTGTGTATTTTTAGCTTCTCTTAATGTTCAGCTTCTCAGTCAATTGTAATATCCCAGCCCGGAGTGGATGATGTCGGTGATGAATGGCGATATAAGAATAAAGGACAGACTTATTCTCTGTCTACTCAGCTGCCACTGCTTTTACAGACCACTGTTGTTTACCACTGGCCACATGAGAGAAATGTGTCTTCAGCTAGATAGTTTGGTCTTGTCAGTGTTTGTGTGTGAGCTTATTGCCAACTGCATGGCCCTGATTGATGAGGGCTTTGCCTCGGCCGGAAAACTGGATGGATGTGGGCTCCTCCTGCTCTATATACAACAAAAGCATCTCTGAGAAGAAGAACAGTGTGTCAGGCCAAAGTCTTAGATAAAGTGTGGTACTGCACAACTTCAAATCATCCCTTCTGAGCCCTTTAATTGTGTATCTTAGAGTTGCTTCATGGTGACAATATCTAATGTACTTTGTTTTGTTTTTGCAGCTACATGACTGACGGAGGTTTGGGTCTGTACACGAGGCGCCTGAACCGCATGCCCGACAGCATGGCCGCTGTCCGAGAGACTCTCCATCGAAACACGTCGTCAGGACAGGGAGATGCTGACAGGTAAGTCTGAAACATCTTAAATGGAAATTCCACCCACTTATTCTCTTACACTTTGATGTTCATCCATTCGTGATGTAGTATTGCAGCTTACTTTTGGGATAACCAGCTCCCCTCAGCCAACTTCCTCTTGTGGTCTGCACTGAGATTAAAAATAGTATTTTTTTAACATCTGTTGCATCTTTATTCTTTTGTAATGCTGAACACAATTTTTTCAGATGGCAAACAGCAAATGTGAATTCCAAAAGTCTGTTTTGCACCAAGTGTAAACCAGTTTACCTTCTGTTGGAAAGGAAGTTTTTGGTGATGATTCGTTATATTAGACTACTACTACTACCTACATTTCCCAAAATGCCTTTGTACATCTCCTATTGAACATGCTGAACTTAATGTGTATGTTCGTTTGTAGACACGTCCTGTGGTTATAATGTTGTGGTGTGTTGCACAGTGCAGCGTAGGTCGTCTTGATTCTTTGTAAGTTGAAAATACTTATTTGGTGTCATTGGCCTTGGTTGAAATACTTGTGGTTAGAATTGTGAAATATTCTTGTTCATGGGGTTTAAAATGTTGAGTTCATGAGTTTAGATGGGAAAAATGGTCTTGAGACTAGAAAAATTTAGAGACAACATTGGTTAAAATAGTTTCTTTTCTGTCAGATTGTCTTGAAATGGTTGACTGAAAAACAGCATAATCATCGTATCCTGTCTATTGGTTAAAGATCCCCTCCAGAAATGTATTAAGACATATATAAATGATTGTCTTGGAACAAAAAAAGTACAATTTCCACATTAAAATCCTTAAAAGGGCATCAACCCCTTTTACCAGAATCTATAAATTTGCAAATTTTGTTCATTTCGAAAGTATTCCTGACACAAGATGTCTCCTACTGTAAAATCCTTTCTCAGTATATGTGTACTGGTGGCTTCAAGTTTCTACAAAACACTTGTCTTAGTTGCATCCTGGACCAGGATTAACTTCCAATCTATTTGAGATGTCACATATCATGTTTTTAGATTCAAATCAGATTTTCAATGAGCACACTTTGAGCGGATGAATGTGAAAACATCCTTCTAGTGTCAAACTCTGCACATACACCATTCTGCTCAGTGAAGCTCAAACATCACACTGTATGAACAATAAGAAAAAAAACATATTTTTGTGTGGAAGGGGACTTTAATGTTAACAGGATACACTGGAAAATGTGAATGAAAACATCTTGCTGTAATCAAATGCATGAAATCAGGAAAATACATAGAACATTGCACAATTTTAGGGTGTATTTGTCTTTTGAGGCAACTGATGCACAATGTGTCACACAGAATGATATTGCACAAGACTTATATCACTACACAGGATGATGATGATGATGATGTAACTGAGCTTTGGGCAATACACTGCTGATGTACCAACTGATCCTTAATGTTGGACAATATCAATGAGACACGTGTATTTCTGTTGGTGTTACCAGGATGTTTTGGCTTCAGCACGTGGTAAAGTAAGAAGATTGACTTGGGTATTTGTGTATCTGTGGGACTTTCCAGAGCGCCCCGTGTAAGGGGGAGTAATTCGGTGTGATGCAGCGGTCTTTGTCCTGTCACAGAGATGGAGAGGGATTTGGTTCCTGGCTAATTGACAGACGGAAATGGATGAAGGCCAGAGCAGAGCCCCACCATGTTGCAAGAGAAGGATGGGGGGGGGGATAGACAGAACAGAAAGTATAGGGGGAGGGAATAAGCTTGATATGAAGATGGACTGCAGATTGGGTGGAGGTGGTTGGAAAAATGAATGAATGAGGGATAAACTGGGTGAGACAAAGGCCAGGCTCAAATATGTTGAAGTGGATTGACTCCTCAATTTATATCCAGCTATCATCAACCAGTTTCTTTGTGCTTTAGGACTAGAAATGATCAATTCTTTTAAACAAAAGCTGTGTAATTACTCACTGATGTGTTACACAGACAGACATGCTGTACTAGTCTTAAGTGCTTCAAGCAGCCTTTTCCGTAAATCCTCAGGTGTGGCTAATTTCCTGTCCTCCAGACTTTTGACCTATGCTCTCTCACTGCCTTTTACCCCCGCACACACACACACACAGTACTTCACATTAATCCCCCCCAGCCCTTAGGTGGGACTTAACACAAACTGTCCCTCTCCTCACCTTTCATCTCTCTTTTCTCACCCCCTTACCATGCAGGACTCTGTCTCTCCTCTCACCTTTCATTTCCCTCTTGCTTGTTTTGATTAGAGACTGTAGCAAGTAGAAGAGACTGGAAAGCAATTAAATGATAAAAGTTGGGGGATTCCTCTTTTTTTGTTTTGTTTGATTTTGTGCTTTCATGTTTCATCCTCTGTGAGGTTTAATTGACCAAGTTAGCAGATGTGATGTTTCTCCAGAAACTTCGCATTTCTTCTTTCATGATCTTCACACGGCTTCATTATTGCTTTCATTAGATTAGAGAGAAGGGGTAAGAGAGGGTTCTAAAATTAAGAGGGGATGAGCTGACTCCCAGCCGCACCTCCTCCCCCCTGAAGGAATGTCTGATAAATGTGCTTACTGCTTTTAGTTTTGGATTAATTAGGAGATGTGAGGGAAGCGGCAGATAAAATTCATTAGCATAACAAACGGAAGCCAGTGGAGCTGGAGGGTGAGGAAGGGTGACTGGTTTTCTGCTGTAAAAGATGAGGCTAATTTAATACATGAGAGAGAGGTTAATGGTGCAGTTTGGGCAGGTGGAGGAGGGTGAGCACCTTTCTCTGCATGCGTTTCCAACATTTTGTGTCACCGTAGAAGGTCTGTGTTCTGAGGTGTGTGCGGCCTGTGTTTGCTCACTGGGTGTGTGACCCATCTATAAACCTGTTATAGTTCAAATGCCTTTTTTTACTTCCTCGGGTGTGTGATGCAACCGAGCCTCTCAGCGCTGGTGTGGAAGTAGCGGGGTGTGCTGGGGGGTTGGGAAAAGGTGTTGGGTGTCACCGTGGCATTGGGGCAAAAACCTTGTGACCCCTGGACGAAGAGGTCACAAGCTTCAAAGGGTCGAGGTTCACAGTTCCAGAACCTGTTTAGCTTTCACACTAAAACCAGATCACTAATGAGGGGCATAAAGGATGTAAGTAGAAAATCACTAGTTAAAGTCCCATCAGCTGAGTTGGTGACTGATGAGTGCTGCTGATATTCAGCCCCGGTTGGAAGTGCAAAAACTAGTTTTACCAACAGTCACATGTATGTAAAGCAGAACGTGAAAGCCAGCAGAGCATCACAATGAGTCACTGGACGACCGGACCTGCGAGTTTGAGTAAATAGGCAGAGACAATAGAGACTAGAAACTGTGCGTGTGTGAGAGAGAGAGCATGCTTATCCCTGTCATTTATCTCTGTGGCAGGAGAAAGAGGAAGCAATCTATAACGGTCTGTCTTCTGATTTGAATTCTCTTTGTTAAAGCAGACAAAGGAGAGGTCTTTGTGGTGTGAAATCGCTGTAGCGGTGAGTGTTAGAGAGGACCCCCCCTCCCTTCTTGCTGAGGCGTTGAAGATATAATTTCTCTTTTCCGAACGAGAACGTGACACAAAGAAAAGAAGAGAGCACCACATAAACCACTCAGTTAGAGGCTGATGACAGATGCTTTCACATGAAAACATACATAAATCTGCAGTTGCAGGGTGATAAAGGATCCTGCTAATGCTTTAGACATTTGTGCGAATGGTCTATTCCCCTCATCTGTCTTGCTGGTGTCCGCACACAGTCAGTCCTGGCAGGATCAGGACTCATTCTCCTCTTTCAGGAGAAACTAATGGCTGCATTTACGTGTAGTATGAAAAAAAAAGAGCAAAATGATCTATTACAGAAAACTTAAGTCTTTATTTGGTTTGGTCAATGTGTAGCACTGAAAATGGGGAAAAAACAACTCAGTCAGAATCACGTGACGCTTCCTAGAAAGTACAACTGCTGTTACAATAGCCTCATTATCAAGAGGTCTGACAAAAAGCACTTTGACATGAGAGGTTTTTAAATCAACATGAGACACCAAAGAGTCCAAATCATCTGTACCAGAGTTGTAGGTAACAGATTAAAGAAAGAAAACGCTAAACTTAATCTCCTGAAACATACTGCAGACATAAGACAGACACACTGCGTTGGCAAAGAGGAGCAGTGGTCACAAGCTGGAATTAGTGGTTTTTGTTCAACTTTTGTAGCTGTTCTACTGACATCATGTGATGCTTCTTTCAGCATAAACAACAGGACACTCTTGTTCCACTGACACACACACTTTCCATCAGCAGGTGCCTGTTAAAAGACTGTCACAGCTGTCACTCACTCTGATACCTTCCATTGTCCTTCCTATTATCTTTTAAGTGTAGATCTAACACCTTTTGTAAACTACTTGGTATTTCGAAAGGTACCTTACAAATAAACTTGAATTAACTGGCCTTTGAGGTACTAAACCTGTAAACACTAGTCTTTGAAGTCTGTTCAGACCAGTGTTAACACTGCATATAAAAATCCAGTCTCTGCATTTATTTTCAATGATGTTCTTGCAAGAAAAAACGCAAGGTGTGAACCTGGTAAAACTTTTCCCACAACGCAATGTGACGTTATTCGGCAACCCATTGCATAGGCCAGTCCAATAAATGCAAACACGCATTCCTGGTGGATTACTTTGCAATGTGAATTGCGTAATTCTACTGTCATAACTTGTAGTTGAAGTTGGCGTATGATGAACTCAGACTCATGGATCTATTACTCATCTATCTGGATTGTATTTTATCTTTTTACCGGTTCTTACAAACCGCCCTCACTTATGCCCTCACTTCAGTTTTTTGTGACTGTCCCATTTGTCCCATGATTAAGCAAAGTTTCAAGGCATTTTTCCCCCGCAAGTACTTGAATTCCAAAGTCATTATTTCAGCCATAATTATTAACACATGTAACTGGTGTGGAGACTAACCGTAGATGACCCGTTACTTTTAAAGTTTACATTATTATACACATTCAAAGTATTTTGTCT